TACTTTCACTGCAGATTTGTCAACTCAGCAAATATCAAAATCATTGTTACAAAAAATGTCCTGCTTTTAAATTTAGTAGGCCATGCTGCAAAATTTTTAAAGCCTAACTTGTGCTGCCGTGAGTTTTTCATGGCGTTTTATTTAATTTTTGTTGAATTGTTTTCTTGTTTCTTTTTTGTTTCGCTGCTAACTCTTTAATGCAAACTTTTTAATTTTTGGCACTTTTTGTTTTGACTAAAACCACAAAGTCAGATTGTTAATGCCGCGACATTCGTTAATTGTGGTTACGAATTAGCAATTAACTTTTTCAAAGCAAACTCGCAAGCCGCATAAATCATTGGGTATTTGTTGAAAAATAAAAGTCAACTTGTAAAAGTTTGTGAAAGTGTGCGATAAACACTAATTGTTGCGTGAATTTCCCAATTAGTTTTTTGTTTAAGGACTTTGTTATAATACATAGCAACAATGCAGAAAGCTTGATTTGGTTGTAGTTTAATCTTCTTACTTTTGGTTACTGTTTAGTCTGATAGAGCTGAATGTATTTATTTTTTTCTCTGTTACTATGCTAAACTATCTTTTCAACACACACGTTGCAACAGCATTTTTTTGGGGGGCGGTATGATTCTAAATCAAAATGAAAGATCTTGACCACCATAGTAATACTTCCAAACCTTTTTGCATTCTCAGATCAAATTTTTTATGACTATATTAAGCTTGCAATTTTTTGCTTAAAACTTTTTCAAATAAGTGGATAACAAGGTCTTGGGAACATGTAGTAAAATTTCACGAGGAATAATTTTGTAGAACTTTTTAATGCATTAGAGAAAGCTATTATTGACCAATTTTTTGTATAGTCTGAACAAAATGGCATTTGAGAAGTCGCTACAGGTTTAAAATGTTCTAGAAAATGATCGACCGGAAAATTTCACTAGAGGTGTGTCAAACAAAATCCATATACAAATAACGTAAAAGTTCCCAAAAAAAATTAATTTGCGTATGCTTTCTTTTATATGTATGCATTTTCACGGTACCCTGGAAACAATTTCAACCCGAAAGCTGTGTCCATTCGCCGATTCCTGTTGCAACTTGTTCTGGGTACTTCAGTGAAAATTTTCCAAAATGAAAAAGCAAAGTCCGTATATTTTTATAGTTTAGCAGCGAATTTGAAAAAAATCTGGTTTTTACTCAGCCATGTATGGACATTGGATTTTAACTTTTTTTAGTATGGATCCGACATTTTGAATTTCTGAAATCTGACACTAGATTTGAGTCCATCAACCTCGAAAATCACAATATTGGATCAACCATCTCAAAATTTTTAATTTTAATATGTACCAGCTTTGAATACAGTTAGTAACCCCGTAAACTCCCAGGGTATCATCTTCGATTTGCATTTCGATTTTTCAAAATCCGACACTAGATTTGTCTTCAGCGACCCCAACAAAATTTAAACAAGTTTCTTTTCATTTCACTTATTATTTTTTGTAAATTTTATTAATGATAAATATTTGTCGGTTTGTGAGTTTGATGAATTGCATTTATAAATGCGGTGCGTTAGATGAAGCTAATAAAAGGTCGGTAAATCGAACTATACTTTTCCCCATTAACATTTACTTATATTCGTACGATGAACCCTTAATTAATTATTATTTAATAAATATTATAAATCCGGAAGTGAGTTTGTGTGTTTGTTACGCTTTCACGCTTTGACTACTCAACTGATCATCATGAAATTTTGTATACTGGTGTCATTTAGCCCTAGTTAAAATACGGGATAGATTAAATCTCGATAAGACAAGGACGCGTGGCTCCTCCCATACAAACGGAATTTTTCATACTGCATATCGCAGAAAATATTTGTGATAGAGTATTGGAACTTGGTATGGAGATATGTATATAAAATCAATTCCATTCTCTGGAGAAGGGCTGCCACCTGCATAGAAAATCAAATTCCATTTGAATTAAAGGAATTATGTATTTTAAAATTGCATTAAAAAATTGATGTCAACAGGCTTTAAAACTTTAAGTTTGAAAATATTTTCAAAAGGGTTGCCACCTGTTTGAAAAGTCAAATTGAAATTAATTATTCGCAAGCTATATTAAAAATTAAAATATGGGTGTTAAACGAAAGATTGTTAGGAAACCATCAGATTGAAAAAAAAAATAAAAATTATAACAAAGTCCTCCATTTAGAGGCTCAAAACGACACCTGGTTGCCTGCTAGTTAGCACCTCATTGCTATTTATTTACTTTATGCTTCTATTTTTTTAATTAAATGAAACCACCAAAAACAAAGGCTTCTATTTACAAAGGCAATGCATTACTTATGCGGCGTGCGTACAGGAACTTACATAAATATATGCACATATGTATATGAATATTTATACACACATACATATGTAGACATAAAGCTTTTCTACAGCAACTTCCACAATCTGCAGCTCATATTCAAATAACAAGTCCTCTTAGTGAACACTTTATGCTGCTGTATGTACAGCCTGGCGCTTTGTTTTCATTAAGTGACAGACACACCTTTGCGCCTTTGGTAAACAATGTACCGCAAAAGCTGTAATTCATGTGCAGAATAAAAAAAATGGCCACAGTAAGCGAACAATTATTGGTGCTAATTTTGTGTTTCAGCTTTCACACGCTCATTTAATCAAATTCATTACACGCTCTGTGGCATTTAAATAAAACAGGTATGTACATACAGGCATATGTAGGAATGTATAAATTATGATCCCTGGTGGGAAGCATTTCAGTATTTCCATGTGAATTTTTTTAGATCTTCAGCTAAATTTAAAAATCCCGTAATGGGTGGATGGAAATCAAACATTTCCTGCGGAGTGGAAAATAAATAAATCCGTGACCTATGACACACTAGATCTCTTTCAAATGATAAAAGTTATATATATATCTGTATTTATTTGTATGTTTGTTCTGAGCACAATCATCCGACTGCAATATAAATATTTGCAACAATAGTGGCAATGGTTTCTAATATTTTAGTTCACCATATGGAACAAAAGTATTAAATGGGAACAACTAATCGATTAACAAAAGAACCATTGATAGAAAAAAGGAGAAAGAAAAAAAGTAGCTGATTGTAACGGGTTTTATTCTCAAATGTGGAAAAGTTAATTACTAATGAATCATTGGCGAAAATTTGCAAGTATCTCTTCCATGTTTTGAACAGAAAGGAATAGAGTTCTGATTCTGAGTTCTTATAGTCTTCAGCAGAAGAATGGAGAAATTCATAGCCCCACATCAACCAAAATTTGTTTTCTATTTCGAAGCAACTGGAAGATTACGTGTCTGCCCGATGTTTCTTCATTGCAAAATGATTTAGATAATCTAGCTTAACGCAGCAACAGAGATAAACTATCGCTTAATCTTAAAAAATGTTTCCATATGAATTTCTCAAATTATTCGGTCTTAAATTTCAAACTTTCCATAGTTAAGGAATTTTCGGATTTAGGGATTTTATTCCGAAAGCCTACTGTACTGTAAGTTGGCATTCCTCAAACGCTACGCGAAAGACTTTAAGGATCCTTACATTAGAAAGTCGCTATATAGCTCTTTAGTCCGTTAAAAATTGGGGTCCGCATATGTAATATGGAATCCATTTAACAACTCACACTCTGGTAGAATTAAGGGAGTTTCATCGCAATTTCATTCGTTCTGCTCTTCAATCGCTTCACTTTAGTGACCCTGTCCCTTCCCACAGTGGCCGTTGTTTGCTCATATACTTGAAATCCCTGCGAATAGGAGAACTATTCAATCTTCAATTTCTATCTATGGTGTCATTAATGGTTTAATTGACTGCCCGACTCTTCTTGTAGCTAATAGAATGCTCCGCCACTATTATCCCTTTCATATTACCGTATTGAGATCTAACTATTTTAAATTTGCTCCTATTGCTAGAGCACTTAGTGAGTTGAATAAAATTTATAGTTTCCTAGATCTCGATTTTGCTATGCCGAGATCTCTGTTTATGTCAAAGATAAGATCTTTCTATATTTAACGAAGCACATATAATTAGTTAGTAGACAACTTATCTTTAAGTATTTGTGTTCTTCTAGTCTGTAAGATTCTTGTAATCATATACTTAACAAAGAATGAAATGAAACTGCAAACCAGTGTTGACCAAAATATATTGCGTGGGGGAAGCTCTTTAAAGATGTCCGTACTTTTTATAAGAGGACGAATTTATCAAATTTTGAAGACACTCAAAGCTTGATTTTTTTATTTCAAAACTATAGATGTTTTTTGGTATGTACCTTGCCGTAATTGGGTAAAGATTTTCACGCGTTTAGAACTACAGAATAATACCAAAAAACCCCAAAAAAATAAAACAAGAATAACTTCGAAAAAATCCCGAAAAGGTCCAGATAAGTTGCGAAAAGATAAGCATAGTTCCTAAGCCATCCCGAAAAAAAATCAAAAAGTAAAACACGAAGGGTTTCGACAAAACTCTGAACGGCACTGAAAAAATTTCTTAAAAAACCTAATTATAACCAATGCCCAAATAAAGCCGAAATTATACGTTTTCTTCTGCTAAGAAATATAATATTTAGTAAAAATGTGGCATAACTTATTGCGTTAAAAAAAAATAAATAAATAGCAATCAGTATTGATTTCTCGAAATATTTAATAAAATTCGAGTTCTTTTGGTCACTAGGAAATCACATTCTGCAATGGAAGAGATTTCTAATCTTAGCATCGAAAAGCAATTACCAGTATATATGAAAGGTGTTTCACATATACAGATATATATTTTTGTTTTCAATTTCGAAATCTAAAAATAATCATCTCTAGGACTATGCTATTAGTATGCAGAAAAAATTTACCTCGTTCTTTTCTATTCATATGATGTAACAGTGCTCAATAACTTTGCTTTCTAAAGATATTTTATTTATAAAATTAACTAACTCGCTAAATAAACTGTCACCACCAGCCCCTAAAACTAATAATAAGTATGTACTTTTTTATGCTTCTAGATTATCACGTAAACTCAAGCCCCATATAGTTGCCGACACTGTCAAACAGTATATCAGTCGGGCGCAGCGCACTACCAAGGGTTCGACAGAGCAGCAGCCTAACATGGAGTTTTTACGTGGTGTTTATGCGTTTATGCAAGTGAGTAGATCATCGGTGAGTGTCGCTATTTCAACTTAACAAACTTACTAATCCATGAAATCTTCTTTTTCTTTTTTGAATTGCATATGATTTGCTCTCTATCAAAACATTGAACAAATCAAACGAAATCTCATAACCTCAACCTCAAATATCCAACCAAAATTTATTTATAACTAAAATTAATTAAAAATTCAAAAACAAAAACTATTGCTGTTGCAAAAAATAAACAAAAAAAATTATTTATTTATTTAACAACAACAATAATATAACTACGAAATCTAAAAAAAAAAACAAAAACAAAAAACCATTTGTACATATTAAAATGCACAAATCGCACTGATAACGTTTAATGAGAGAGTGAGAAAGAGATATGAAGATAACGAAACGATAATGGATGTTAACAATACATACATACGAAAAACGTTATTATGATAGCGAAATGTGTTAGAGGATAAGTAAAGTAAAGCAGAGAGAGATTTTTTATTTACTAAATATATAGCTAAAGATTGGCTTTTTATATACAAAATTTATTAACATAAATAAGCATTTATATGTGAGGAATAATGCCTCAAACCAGAGTATTTACTAATTTTAGATTAAAAAAGTATATAAAGATATTTATAATTTTTTTTTTATATATACTTTTAAAAAAGAAAAAAATGTGCGTAGGAAAGGCATAACTTTGTGGTATTCTGAGACGGCAAAAGTGAAATTTTTTGATTCGACGAAGAGCAAAAAATTAAAAAAAAAATAATAATAAATATGTAAAAAAAGACTTTCTATAGCACAGAATTTTTGAAAACATAGATTTGAGTAATTTTAAAAGACATTTTAGTGGCGCCTGTAACTGATTTCTATTTGGTAGTTTTAATAAAAATCACGAAAATTCAATTTTTTTTTTTTAATTTACACTTAGATTTCTGCGATATTAACTAAATTTATCGAACATTTTTTATACTGAAATTAGCTCTTTGCGATTTAAAACCAAGAATTCAAAATTTTTGATAGCAAACCCGTGTTTCCTAGAAATGGAAAAAAAGTTTTTTGAATTTTCCAAATGTATTCCTAAACTTTTGCGCAGCAAAGTTATGCCTCTACCTGCGTATTTAAACCAAAACATTCAAAGAGCAAACAAAAAGCAGGATTATAAAAGTAACTAAGAAAAATATTAATTTAATTACGAGTTTAACTCCAACTTCCGAGCGAGTGAGCGAGCGAACGAACAGACATAAGGAATTGCAAGCAAAAATCGTAAATGACTTAAAAACAAAAAGTGCAATCACGTAAATGATAAATTTAATATAAACTCCCTTTGCATACTGTCGCAACGCAACCCTGGGCAACCACTCGACGGCACAGAGAAAATTAATAAGCAAACATTAATCACGTAGTTCTTGCGTAGGCGGCACTAGATCGAGGGACAAGCCCATTTAGAAGCTGAACAATAAATGGTCAAGTATCATCTTTCCGAAAAATTAAAGTAATGAATAACATTAACTGGAGTATTTTTTTCGTTTTTCTTCTTTTTTCGTTTTGTTTTTTGTTTTTTTTTTTTAAACGAACTTCCAGTTTTGTTATGCTAAGTAACGAATTTCGAGTAGGAAAAATGACGGAACGCATGTCGCTCTTAGCGAAAAAGAAAAAAAACAACAACTTTAAAGGTATTAAGAAAACAACAGAGTGCAACAACAAAAATGCGCCAAGGAGTGGAATGAGTTGCAGGAATATTTATTATTTGAATTTCGTTTCACTTCGTTTTTCTTTCATAACATTTACCTTCATTTAAATTAAATTTTATGATTTCCGTCCGCCATATTTTTATAATTTGCGTAACGAGTTTCAACTACATGTTTTGGCTCCCATTTATAATATTTGTTGCCCATCTTTGGTGTCTGCAAGAGCACCGACAGTGTAGGGGTAAGCTTTTTTTTTATTTAAAGCTGCACACCACTTCTATTGTTTTTTTTTGGCAATTCGTCGGTGCTCTGGCATCCACAATGCTTTCCTCTTGAGTTTTCATTGTTTTCACAACTTTTTTAATTGCGTTATTTTTTCTTTCTATTTTTATTTGCTGCATACCCACAAAGTTACTTGTACGACATACATACATATTTTTCTTCCAAGTGTTGCCCAACAAATGGAAAGGTTTATTGCAATTCTTTGGCAGAGCAAAGTCATCGACATTTTAGTGCCAGTTGTGCGCTCGCTTTGTGATACATTTAATTTATTTTTGACATCAAGACATACATCAACATCAACATCAACATCACTCACATCAGCGCGTCAACGCCTTCATCACCCTTGCTGTCAGCCAACGCGTCAACATCTACCAACGCAGCGGTAACACAAGTCAGCCATCAGCCTTTTAACCATTCTCAGCCATTATTCACCCCACCACCACCATCATCATTGGCATAATCACCGTAATCATCACCAACAACAACAACAAAAGCAAAATTTTCTCCCCTTCATTATCTTACTCCTTTTCGTCGGCTGGTTGCCTTGCCATCATCTGTCCATCAACAAAGCCCAGCCTCCTCTGTCCTCGTCCAAGTTTAAGTGTATGTACTTTTTATGTTGCTATATTCTCCTATGCGCGTCTACCACCTTTCTTTTGTTAAATAGAGCCAATTTAAATAAATCCTTTGACTTCAATTTCCGTCACATCAACAAAACCAACTCATATTAGCGCAAGCCGCAAGCGGGAGATAAAGTTTTCTCCCACTACAGAATCACTCTACTCAGTGCACACATGCATACCTACTTGTATAGTGTATATGTAGGTGTGCCGTTCGTTATGATATTCTTGTTAATTAGCCATAAACGTTTTCCTCAGCAACAACATATATATTTATAATCCAATTCTGGATCTGCTGTTACTCTACTCGCGCTTAATCAGCAATTGCAGCGTTTCTCAAGTGGTACTCTGTTGCGCGTATTCCCTCGTCTGGATATTATGGTTATGTATGCATTAGTGTACATTAGGGTGTCACACACGGTGGGCAGGAAGCAAAGATAGGTTGCATAAAAATGTCGACAAAAACTGAAAGCAGGGTTGTATTTGTTGATATTTTTAGGTTAAGAATCCCTTTGAATTGAAATCCTAGCTGCTCCTGTTTTAAAGATATCAACATTTTACATAGTTATGATAGGACCGACTTTTGCGAAAGAGAAAAACATCCTTGTGCATTAAATATTCAACAATGTATGTGTGAGTAAATGTGTGTATATATATTATGTGAAAATATAAGTTTATGTAAGTTTTTAGCCGGTTTCAATCGTTTCCAAGGCGCACCACGTAGAGGCAACTTACTTTGCACCTCTTTGTTCTTTTTATGGTTTTATTTTTTTCTTGCTTTATTTTTTTATATTTGTTTTTTGTTTCCTTTTATTTTTTTTGTTGGCTTACCATATAATATAGTCACACATTTTAGTATTTAAATATTTTATTATTTAGTTAAGTTTTTATATATGCTGGAATGAAAATGTCATTACAGTTTTCTTCAGGCGACTCACAAAAGTTGATTGATTGATAAATATTTATTTTGAATCTATCCCAGAACTTAATGAATTCCCTATGAACTGACTTCCCGGCCTGCTCGGACCATAATCCTAAACCATCGTTATTCAAGAATGAAATAGATTGCTTTAAATGTTTAAGGATAAAATGGATTTTGACAGTTTGAGAAATTCCAGTACTTTTCAAAGCTGTGCGGAGTTCGTTAAGATTTTTATCAAAATTACTAAGATCCGCTTGTTTTGCGGAAAACCATGTATTTACGATTTTGCTCATGGCTTTGAACGAGGCAATATATTTGGTATTGTGTTTACTGAGAGTTTCTTCCATACAAACTATGTTCGACATTTTTTTGTATGTGGAAGACACTGTCAGCAAAAAATAAATAATTGCAAAAAATCAACGAAATTTTCTGGTAACTTCAGACTTGCACTTTACTAATTGGCTCAAAAGCTACATTTTAAACATTTTTCTAAAAGATCAGATTAGAAATTGTGATCAGATGAAAGTGTCTCCGAGCCAATAATTTTGTACGGCACGGTACTTATAAGTAATCTAGGTTTCATGAAAAAAAAAATAAATACAAGGTATCATTAAAATATCAGTCATTTGTTTCGTTGCTGTGAGCTTGTTTCAAAACTTCTGGCTTTTGCTATAATTGTAAAACTCTGTGCATGTCATTTTAACGTATTTAGGTACATACTTATATTAATCATCAACTATTGCTTATGCAAAACGTGCTACACTTAAAAAAAAAAATCGCATATGAAAGAGCACCAACCCAACTCGTAATAATTTAAGTATACAAATTTTAGTATTTAGTATAGAAATATTCAATTGAAATACGCCAATATTAAAATGAAGCGCTTTGCACTTAACGGATGCTTTTTCATAATTAAGTTAAAAAAAAATTTATTTAAATTCCATGCTGTCTGTAATGGGATTTGAACCCTGACGCTCTGGAAATTAGCAAATTGTGGCAAGCATCTTCGTGCACTCAGCTACAGCCAGACATGTAAATGTGCATTCAAATGTTCAGTTTGATTCAACACCACGTGTGCGTGGTATGAAAGTATTGTTTTTAAGTACGAACATTTCAAAACGATAATCAAATAAAAAATATTCATGTTTACTATGCGTTATTTCCCCCAGTAAATTCATAAAATTTTTCTTAATATTACAACGCGTTTTTTCTCTCAGCGTCAGTGTTGCCAGAACTTTTTGGGCCGACCGGCTAGATTGGCAAAAAAAAGCGGCTAAAAACGGCTAAAATGTTTTAGTGAAAATTCACATGCTTTATTTAAATAAATCGCAAGAAACGAAAGACTAGTTAACACCATTAATTTATATCGAGTGTATATTCCTCATCATCAAATGAATCACTATTGTATATATCACCTGAATTCATTAATTTTAAGAGATCGTCATCTACAGTAAAATTATGGCAGCATTTTTCTTCACGTTTTAAACCGTATCTTATATATAAAATAGCGTTTAA